AGACAAGTCGAGGGAACGCAACACCCGATCTTTCATCATTGGTGCTTTCATTAAGAGTGATCGATTGGGTGTTCGTGAACTTTTCCTATCTCATTCTTTTTATTTTTTGTTCGATTTTTTCAGTCTTTTGTTCGAAATTTTTCGAATTTTTGTCCAAATTTTCGAAAAAATTTCATGAGTATCAAAAAAAAAAAAAAAAGTGTCATCTAGTCTTTTGTTCTTTTTTCCTCCCTTTGGTTCGAATTCTTTCAAATTCTTCTTCTTTCTTTTTCGAATTTTTTAGAGTCTTAAAAAAAAAAAGAAAGAGAGAGAGTCATGACGAATCGCGAGAGATTCGATGCACTTGAGGAAAGCGTGAGGTCCCTTGGCAACAGACAACACGTGGTCAATGAAAACATGGCAAAGTTGGAGCTGATGATACACGACTTGGCGGGACAGCTCGAGAGAGTCAACCACCATACGCGGAGGAGCCGCACATCGAGATCAACCCTGGCGGGAACAGGCAGTTCGGCGTCTAGTCGCGATGACGACGACGAACGGTCGCGGGAAACGCGCGCAACGCGCACTACCCGACACCACGGCAATCGCAGGGCGCATGGCCATCGGCGTCATCGAGAGGAGCACGTAGATAACGATGCCAACGTTCGAAGGAGTAGATCCGGATGCATGGTTAAGTCGTGCCGTGCAATTTTTTGAGATCAATGAGGTGCACAAATCTGAAAGAGTTCAAATTGCTGCCTACTACTTGGATGGGGAGGCCAACACATAGTGGCAATGGGTGTCACATGTTTATAAAAATAAAGGCGAGAAAATTAGATGGCGAGATTTTGAGAAGGAGCTGATTGCCAGGTTTGGATCTAGCGAATACTTTGATTATGATGAGGCGCTGACAAGGATCCGCCAAACTGGTAGTCTACGTGACTATCAAAAGGAATTCGAGAGGATAGCAAGCCGGGTTCGGGATTGGCCCGAGAAGGCACTAGTAGGCGCGTTTGTAGGGGGCTTAAAGGCTGAGTTGGCTGCGGAGGTACGATTGGACAGGCCAAGGTCGACAAGGGCTGCCATGGAAGCAGCGCGACTGCACGAGGATCATCTCGCGGCAGTGCGCAGGGCCAGACCGAGCAAGGGGCGCGCGGACGTTCGGCGCGCGAGTGTCGTGGTCGACGATACGCCCCCACGGGCCGAGGTCAAGCCAACAGTCGGTGATGGTACATGCACCACTAGCAACTACCGACGATTGACGGAGGATGAGATACAAAGGCGAAGGGAGAAAGGCTTGTGCTTTACTTGCAACGAAAAATTTACGCCAGGCCACAAGTGCAAGGGTAAGGAAATTTTTGTGTTGGAATTTGAGGAGGGACGAGAGGAAGGAAAGCCGCAGGAAGAGTCATGGTTGCATATGGTGAAGTGCAAAAAGCGTGGTCCTAAGATGATCAAATTCACGGCCGAGGTAAAGGATATGTTGTTGGA